CCAGAGCCAGGGCCGTGGCCGGAGACAGAGCCAGAGGCAGAAGCAGAGCCGGAGCCGCCAACGGTGCCAGAGCCAGAGCCGCCGATGGAACCAGAGCCGGAACCGTGGCCAGAGACGGAGCCAGAAGCAGAAGCAGAGCCAGAGCCGCCGACGGTGCCAGAGCCAGAGCCGCCGACGGTGCCAGAGCCGGAGCCGTGGCCGGAGACAGAGCCGGAGGCGGAAGCAGAGCCAGAACCGCCGACAGTACCCGAGCCAGAACCACCGATGGAACCGGAGCCAGAGCCGTGACCAGAGACGGAGCCAGAGGCAGAAGCAGAGCCGGAGCCGCCAACGGTGCCAGAGCCGGAGCCATGGCCACCGGTGACATCGGTAGGGCTGACACCGCTAGGACCGGTGCCCGAAGGAGAAGGAGAGCCAGAGCCACCGACAGGAGAAGCGCCAGTGGGGGTGGCGGGAGCGGTGGAGGCAGCGACGGGGGCAGTGGATGGGCTGGAGATGAGCTTCGTGGTCGAACCAGAGCCGGAGGTGATGGTGGGGGCACCCGGAATGCTGCAGCCGGTGAGCCATTCGATGATGAGGAGGTTGAAGCTGCTGCTGATCTCGATGTCAACAGCACCACCGAGGACAGCGGCCAACTCGGCACGGGCCTCAACGGAAAGATAGACGATGCTCTCGCCGGAAAGGAGGAGCCAGAGGGTACCACGAAGGCTGGATCCGAGGGATGCCTCAATAGTGCCGGTAAGGAAGGCCTCGAGCTCAGTGATAAGGCTGGTGGAGATTTCAATGCTGACTTCAGTGACAGAGAAAGAGAGCCAGAGGTAGAGAGCGGCCTTGAGTTCGGCTCCCAGGCTGCAGCTGGAACCGGACAACCAGACGGCCAAGGCCGCACGGGCATCGGCGGAAACGGAGGTGGCGAGCTTGCCGGCAATACAGGCCTCGAGGACGGCCTGAACATCGGCCTCAATGTCAGCAGAAACACTGGACTCAAGGAAGGCAGAGATGTAAGCTTGGGCAGTCGCGGTAAGAGCACCCTCGCCTTCAATCCAGGCGCTGATGGCAGCACCAACGGAGACGGCAGTAACACCGCCAGTGGGAATGGAACCGATGGCAACGACACCAGTCTCAATCTTGCCCTCCAACCAGGCCAGGACGGCAACCTTGAGCTCGGCGCTCAGGGAGCAAGACGAGCCATTGAGCCAGACCTTCAAGGCGGCGGCGAGATCGGCGTGGAGATCAGCATGAACACCACCACCCGCGCAAAGAGAAAGACCAGCGCGGAGGTTGGCATCCAGCTCAAGACCGACGGAGCCGGAGATGAACGCGGACAGCGAAGACTGGAAGGAAGAGCTGAGAACCACGCCGGCCTCAAGGGTGGTGACATCAAAGATACCGTCAATGGTCACGTAAAGGTCACCGGCGGCAGCCGTCTTGGCGCAAGTGGGAACGAACAAGGACAGCCCGGCGCACACTTCGGTCGAGAGAGTTGCTGAAGCCTCACCCTCACACCAGGCGAGGAGCTCGGTCTTCAGAGAAGCCTCGAATCCAGCATGAGCGCGGATCCAGGCGGCCAATTCGGCACGGATGTCGGCATCAATCGCACCGGCCTTGCAACCCAAGGCACCACCGTTGAGGGCAGCGGCAGCCCGGGCACTGATACCAGCAAGGACGGATGTTGAGCTTTTTCCACCGCCGAGGATATCTTCAACGATGGTCGTCAGGTCCTTGCCGAATTCGGACAGGATCTCGACGGCGAGACCAAGAGTGCGGGGGTCTAGATCCTTGGTGTCCTTGGTGGGAAGAGCGAGGACATAATTCGCCAGACCGGCGAGGAGAAGAAGCTTGCTGGAACGCATGATGCCAACGAAGCGGAGGGGTATCAGGAAAAGGTCGATAAGGTAATAGCGAATGTCGATCACGAGTCAATCGGGATGGAACGATATAAAACAATAAGAAGGAAAGAACTGATGAGTATGGCCGGCACTAGGGCAGCCTGGTCAGGTTAACGACAGACAGGTGTAAATGATAGACAAGGGAAAGAAAAACAAAATGAAAGACAGAACCCCAAACGACAAGCGAAAGGAAGTGACTGGCAAAGGGCTTGATGTCCGTTCAAACGAGGTGATCATCATCGAGGTATATATACCCCTGGGGACGGGGGACACTTTCCCGTGCCTGCTGGGCCGGGGGCCGATGGAAACCTGCACAAACCCCCAGTCTGGAACCAACGAATGGAGCAGTGCAGCTTGCTAGAGCATGTTGGACTATCTGCGATCGAGGGACCCGGATCTTCGAGACCAGGTTAGCCAAGTGGAGCAGCCGGGTGCCAGTGGAAGACTAGAGAGGCGAACCAGACCCGACTACCGTTGAATGTGGGCTCATCCGAAACAGACTAAACAAAAAGAAAATACTATTTCAGGCAACGGGGGATTGCTAACTAGGAAAGCATTAGTTCCGACTTTGTGCGGGTCACAGATGGCCCTTCCCGTCCGTGTTATTTTTTGTCTCTAGCCCACGCAGTGGACGCCGTAAGCAGGGGGAGAAGAAGGCTAGGCCAGTAGGCCAGTAGGCTAGTAGTAGGCCAGTAAGCCACAGCACCCCAAGCCAGCCACCATCTCGGAGGGTGGGCGGACAACGGAGAGTTGGAGGAGGCACCGTTGTCAGGGCAAAAGCCCCTCATGAAAGACGCTAATGTCTGAAGATAGGGCACCGAGCAAAAACGGTGAGCGATTTGGAATCCAGCAGCTCGTGGACATGTCGGAACGGGACTGACTGAGAGGAGGGAGACCATCAGCCGTAATCCGTAATGTCAGCATCACCGATCGACTACTTAGCCTCGCAGACATCAGCATCGTCGGCTCGAGAAATCATCATCGGCACAGATTTGTGGGGAAATGAGCGACCGACAGCCAACCCACACGGGATGCAGTATTGAGAGTCTGGAACTCTGGATGGGTGTTGGATCATCACAAGCCATGCAGTAGCAGGCATTACGATGGACAATGACGACAAGGCGACAAGCATAGACCGTAGTAGGATAATAGACTAGCAGGCTAGCAGGTCGTGTATGGGAGAAGCGGAACCAGACAGGCTTGAATGGAAGGCGACCATGGACGCGACCCATGGACGATCATCTTAACCGGTGTTTTCTGAGTATTGTCCCAGAGAGTCTTAGTCTGGAGGGGGGGGGGTCAGGTTAAGTTTCCACGGAAAAGGGCAAAACATGAAACTCCCCCATCAAGCCCAGCTCCTCTCCACTTTGGGGAGGGCTTTTCTGAAAGTCAAGAGTTCGGACATAAGAAAAGAGGCGCAGGAGTCAAGAAACCAAAGAGTAAGTTTACTGCATCAAAAAATGGGAGAGGTCGGAGGAGGGAGATGAATAAGCAATCGCCCCATCAACACGATTTTGTGACAGATGCAAGTTGACTGGTCAGACTTTCTCTCCGGGAACTTGCAGAATTTCCCTTCCAACGGAGAAAAAAAATAAGCAAAAGAAAATTAGAAGAGGAAATGAGTAGCAGTAAATGAAACAGAAAAACAAAAAATACAAATTGGAATATCAAGCAAACATGCACCTACATAGTAACACACAGGCATCCATTGGGTGGCAATGGGACCACTCAACCCAAACAAACACAAGCATAGATCTTATTTCTATTGACTATACATACCGGTACTCTACTTCATGCTCTGAATACTCCGCTCAGAGCTCAATTTACATCTTCCGATTTGGCGGCTCAGTATGTGGTCGGTGTCAATAAGGGTCTTCCTCTGTACGCCCCAAATATAGTACCTCAATTTCCCTCAGGTTGGCGGAAGGACTGCCGTTACCACTACAGAGGTTCAAACAAGCCGGCTGTGGCTTGCTACTGAATAGCGTGGTGGACAGCTAGGCAATCACCTCCCGTCGAGGAGGAGGCGTTCGTAGCAATTTAGTACAGGTGTACGACCTGCCCCATAGCAGACCAAAAAGGTACTCCAACAAACCCATGACGCCTCTGTAATGTAATGTGTGTGCATAGTCAAGCAGAGTGTTGTCATTGGTATGGAGGAAGTAATTGTGGAGGCATTGGAAGGTGCAGCATTAGCGTGTTAGCCGGTGCTCTAGCGTCGGGTTCCTAGTCAGGGACAGAAAGCTGAGGATGCATAGTCAAACTAGGGCCGTCGTTAGCGTGCACGAACAAACACAAGCTTGGATGCAGCAACAAGAGCCGAAATACAATCAAACAATTCCATCCATTGAAAGCCATGCATCTGCGTGAGACCTGAACCGTAGAACACTGCGGGCTAGATTTTCGATGATCAAGATGGGTGTGTTGTCGATGATAACCAGGAAGCCAGGGGTAATCTTTGCCCGAACAGGCGTTCCTGACCCAAAGTGCTTATACCCTTGGGTACGTTCTTTTGGGGGGCTCCAGTCCCCACCTCGACTTCGTTTCCCCCCAATGGCCTGAGCTGCCGGCTGCCCGCTTTACCCGAATCCTAGTTGAAGCACAAGTCCGGAGAGAATTGCAGACTGGATGCCCCTCTCCCCTCTTGCTCCCCACCTTTTGTCCCCCCTGTGACCTGTGACCATCATAGCCAAAGGGTCAAGGCGCATCTCAAATCTTAACAACCATTGTGCAAGCTCTGGAACAAAATAGTTCACTCCGAAGTGTGGTGCAGTGCTGAACTATAGGAACTTTAATCGGGGCAGCAAGAGTCATGTGTTTTGCGGTTTAAGACTTTGACTTGACCCGGTTTTGAGCGAACCTCGGAGGTTTGCCTGATTTGAATCATTATTGACTGACCAGACCAGATCCGACCGGGTTACCCCTGGAGAACAAACCTGCAACTGAAAATTGAGCCAATCCAAAATGGAAATAGGCGACCAGAAGCTGAAGGCGCGATGGTACGCTGTTGCTAATAGTAATATTTGATAGTTAATCTAGGCAGGTAGGTAGAAGTCGGAGCAGTTTGGACGAGACTATGGAATTGGTTGTGGTCCGTGAGAACGGAGAGATTCCGACAGAGAGGGAGATTCGGATATCAGGTGATCTGCCTGCTTGCCTTCTTGCTTCTACCGGTGCGCTCTTGATTTTTGCTTTTCTCCTGTTCGGAGAGAGCCACCTTCACATCGCCATGTTTCATGCTGGGACTAGTCTCGTCGTACTACCAGTCTACTCGTACCACTGAGTCGCTGACTCTGGCCTGTTATTCTTAGCCTTGCCTCTCCACGGTTCATCGATCATTCTCAAACAACCGATTTAAGACTATTTGCCCTGGCAGGCCCAAACTCTAAAGTACAGCCTATGTCAAAAGCCACGAGACAGTCGTGGTGGCTTTCTACATAGTAATGTTATCCAAATAGGGGCTATCAGTCCGAGCAGGACAGAATCGTTGCTGCTGCCGTTGCTCGTGAAGATGAATGTCCATTAAGCCACATCCCATCCTGATTACTTGACATCTACAGTATACTAATGGACGTTCTCGCAGCCTGAGTCTTGCTTCAGCAGATCAGCAGAGTGTGGGTCTCCCTTCCGAGATTTGACCGGATCGAAATCGCAAAACAAGAGATAGGGCAGGTGTGCATCGGTGGATATCCTATCCACTTCAGCAATCCAGACGGGACTGCGTCGTTTGCTCTAAGGCGGAAGGCCGGTAGGCCACACGTCACATCTCCATGCTCGATACTAGCAGGTGTGCCAAATGTGGCTAGGTGTAGGAGAATTTGCGGCTTGTTCTCCAGGCAAGAAGCTATGACCATTCGATTTGCAGTGATAATCAGGATGTCGTGCCTCAGAATGACACTACCAAGCAGGTCACTTGGTCTACCTCTGCTAAATATATCACGGAAGAAGATTTGCGCGGCGGCTTTGCTGAAACGCGTCGGGCTGACGTTGACAACTTGGCTAGTCAGATGCTCTTGGAAAGCCTCTTTTGACAGGTGAAACAAGGAGAAGGAGGACGCACAGCTTCGCACTCAAGGAAGAGGGAGGCCTAGGTATCCAGTTATCCTAAAGCGGCGTCTGACCTGTTGCAGTTTCGACGAGACAAGTATCTTCTCAGTGTCTGGTCTGTCTCTTCTTGTCTCTTCATGGCACCCTTTGACCGCCAACCGTTGGAGATTGAGGGGACACGACTTGTGATCTGGATGGGTTTACAGCCACAGACTGCTGAAGAGGTGAGTAGTAGCCATGGCCGGTGTACCATAGCTCTCTCGTAACTTTTTCGTAGTCATCGTGGCAAGCTGCACATTACATCAACTCTGAGATGTGAGAGTGAGAACGGCTATTCTCAAATCCAGGCTTGCACAGAGAACTCGAGTCCCGTGTGCAACAAAATGTGGAAAACTGGTCCTGGGTTGCAGTAATCATTTGTTTGATGCAAATGCCGTAGTATGCATATACAGATTTTGAAGCAAGGTCGATTTTTTCTATTTGCACCCTGGCCCCCAAAGATCAAGTTCATGACCAAAGAGCCTAGTAAGAAGCTAGGCATCTTCTATTGAAATTGCACACATGTGAGGATGCTCATCATTAGGACTGTTCAGACATCGAAGTTTTCTGCAGATATATATTGCTTGCAGAAGTGTCATCTCCACATACACGAACCCAAGTATGAGCGAAGATCTCGGGTATGCAGATGTAATTGAACAAGCATATAATGATATTGAACCAATATGGTTATTGGTTTACCGTAAGAGTGACACAATGCCCAGACCCTTGATCATGCGTTGTGCAGCAGGGCCAGTGCATGGCCGGTGATGCTGATTTGCGGGCATTCAATATGTAATCACCCTGCGCGTTTATATATGTAGGTAAGAGTACAGGACGTACTTCGCACCTCCGACCGCATTTGCATTACTACAAGATCGAAAGCAGGTTTGATGCATTTTACCGCACCACGGATCCAGGCTGTGTTGATGCTGCCACCAAATTGCATCGAGATTATATTATTGATGCACTGTATTGTAGTGTATGTGTACCGTGCAGAATGCAGACTGCAGCGGCAGCCGATTGTTGTTTGGGGGCGCGATTGCCCGGGGCAACGGATAAACCCCACGTGACTCGGGTGCTCCCAGCCTCGCGCATTACGGCGCAAGTCCCATGTTTCCAATGTTTCCATGCCAAAAACGACCACAAAACACCAAACTACCCCGACCTCCGACCTCGACATACTAACCCCTCACAGCAGGTAGTTGGATCGTGCTTTTGGGAGGCGCCTAGGCCTGGACACTCTCCGGTGGA